CTCCCCCTCCCTCTTCCCCTCCATCTCACTGTGCAGTTCAGGCTGACCTGAACTCACCATGTAGCAGAGGCTGGCCTTGAACTTGCAGGGATCCTCCTGCCTCAGACTCCTGAGTTCTGGGATTACAGGTGTGTGCCACCACGCCCAGCCCCATAAGGAGATATTTGAAATGCTATGAATAGTGTGCATAGAGTTTGCAGACAGTTTTAGGATGGTTATTTATCTCTATAAAGTGTAGCACTGAAACACTTTGTCTTGATATCTAAAATACAAAAGCAATATTTTGAATTAGAAGATACTGAATTTTCAGAGTGGATGTATTTAGATTCATATGCATGCTAAAACACTAGGAGAATAGGAGAGAAAAGAATTAAATATTAGGTGATATTTGTAAGTGTATTTCCCAGATAAAGGCTTTCATTTAAAGTTTGGGGAATTTCAATACAGGAGCTTGAATCTTTGCTATAAAATATTCTCTACACTGTACCAAGATAAGTGTTTTTTCTGAAAGACTTAATGGCTAAAAACTAGCAGTGAGTTTTACGTCAGTCTTGGTATTGCCATATGGCTATTTCAGAGCTGATGGATGTACTTGTTTTGACAAATAAGTTTGTCATACCCTTCCTCTCACAAATTAGAATTTGTATAGCACTGACACATATCCAAACTGATTTTCCTCACAGAATTAAAAACAGATATATCAATAGTGATAAAAGTTTAGCTGATTGAGGAAAGCAAAATTTTCCTACTATTCTCTTTAGCATTATAAAAACGACTCTGTATTTTGCTAATAGAAGTTGCAGGTGGTTGTCCTTCAAAGGAATTAGGACATGTTTAATAAAATTTTACTCATTTTATACACTTCTATTTATGTCAAAGTATTGAAATTGTTCCTTTTTTAAAATAAGTCTGCTATTTGTTATTCAAACTGGCTTTTCCATTGTTTTCCAAATTTCCTGTCCTGTCCTGTCCAATTTTTCTTCAGGTTTTAAATGCAGTAGGTTAATTTGGTTGTGAAAGCTCATAGCTAGTTAATAGGATTGTCATTTTGTGATGTTCTACAAATTACCTTACAGTAATGAAGCTATAGATTATTAAAATAGTTTTTTAAAATTGAAGTAGGCAGTAAAGTTTGCAGTTTCAGATGGCCCTGAGAAATCAAGAGACATTCAGTAGTTAACATGGATGATAGTGTGTGTGTGTGTGTGTGTGTGTGTGT